TTTAACATGAAGTTCTGCTTTGATTTTGTTTGTTTTTCAAAGAACACCTTAATATTTTTTCATAACAATAACAATTGCTTATTTGTATCATCACTATGTCAGTGCAAAATACTCGTATTATTTTATCGAAGGCCTCCAAGAGAAATCTACGTAAAAAAAAACTACGTGTTATGAAAAAAACTAAAATTAAAGTACCCGATAATGTCCAATTCTAATGTTAACCAGATCGAAGAAAAAACAAATATATTTTATGATTCTTTAAAAGTATGTAGCTAACATTATTTTTTGTTAGTGTCAAGGGCATGGTTGCCAAGTTATTATTGTCCTTCAGCAAGGAGAGAGAGATCTGACAAGCTCCCATGGTTTAAACCGCTAAGCTATTGGATGAGAAGTAATTTGTGTATACCCACTTTGAAATTTGCTATCGAGAGCATGATTGTAAAATTATGATATAAATATGTAACTTATTTAATGTTTATATATTAATTGCATTTTTTCTTAAAGCACAAAACGCAAATAGAGACACATAAATCTACAGAAAAAAAAACCTGTAATTATATTCGAATACAGTAGGTTTCTGAGGACTTTGATGCTGAGGATCTTAAATCATTAAATATATCCCAATCCTTCACAATAGTCAGTCCGGAGTCTACATTTATTAAGAAACTCTTAGAAAATAGATATCAAATTACCAACGAACAAGTTTCTGTTGATAATGATGTTTCTTTAATACCAGTGCAATATTTGGAGTTATTAGAATCAGAAATTTTTCAAACAATATATGCTTCAGATTCAATACACCCAGAATTGTAGAATGAATTTGGGCAATGAGCAGGCTTCGATAAGATTTCTGATCTTAGAAAAAAATTTTGCCACTATTGTCACCATATATGGACCAAAATCAACCACATGTATAATTTGCAAGTAGAGGCTCAAAAAAATTCTCTAGAACTTCATGCCATCCCAGAGGTATTCTAGTGACACCCAAAAGATAAACTTTTTATTGCAGATAAAACAACAAAGAAAGTTGCAGGTGGTGTTCATCTTGATAGCTACAAATATATTTCTAAACCTCAATGTTTTAAAAATTTTGTTGGTGAAATACTAGTAGATTTTTTTAATCTTATTAACTCTTTAGCTACTGAGACCACACAGAATATAGTAGATCAATATTATAATCATACTCTTAGAAATCTATTTTATCAATCTAACTGATTTGCTAAAGATCTAATAGAGCATTTTGGTTGTTTCACTGATAGCAACAATGAGCTATATGTTACTGCAAACACTGCATCTACGTATTGTGAAGGGTATCGGAAGTGTGTTTGAGAGTTAATTCAAGAGCTTCAACTGATTTCTGATGCTGTTAATAACTATTTTGGTATTACTTACCCAGCTTTATATACCAAAATGAAAAAACTCGATCTTGGTCCTAATGTTCCCAAATCTTTTGGAATTTTTCCTATGGTTGGCATTAACTTTAATTCTATCTGCCAATTTTATCAGGATCTGAAAGATCATCGAAATACTCTCTGTGTTATCTTTCTACTTAGGAAATTTAAAGGTGGAGAACTAGCATTTCCTAAATTAAAGTTGGTCATTAAAGCAAAGCAGGAGCAAGCAATAGCATCTTTTGGTTCATGGAAACCTTCCAATTATTTCTGAGATTAGACATAGTATTGTTTTTTATATCTATGAGACCGTCATAAAGCAAAAACAGAAATTTGGTTCTCTTTTTGATGATTGTAATTTGAGTCTAGGAGAGCATAGTAGTAAAAAAGGAAAGAAATTGCAAAAATATGTTTCTCCTAAGTTAGGTTCTCGAAACTCTGGAGTTAGATTAAAAAACTACTGGTATAGTTATCTGGATAAGTACATAATTAATTGAATATCAATTTACATGAGATTGGGATAAACCCTAATATTTGTTTTAATTTAAGATCTTGAACTTGCGAAGAAAGGTTTACTAGCAAAATATAAAAAATAAAATATTTATTGTTTCGAATTTGGGATCATCTAAATGATGTCTATTTAATATTAATAAATTTTATTTATCATACTATATCTTTATTGTATAAATAAATTAATTGTGTACAGACCTATAATATTACGAAGTTATGTGATATTATAACAAAATAAAGTAAAATAAAATTTCTGTTGTACGCGTTATTCTAATCAACTTGCAAGTACACAAGGATTCTTTAATTGTGTTTTTCATCACAATAAATAGTTTCTATCCAGATTTCTTGAAAATCCTTCACAATACAAGAAGAACGAATTTTGATAATCAATATCGCAATAATGTCTTAACTTTTGTAAAAAATCATTTGTGATATTGTCTAACCTAACTATCTTTTTGATCATGACAGATACAAAAGCATCTTTTGTGAGAACTAAATTTGTACATCTGTCAAATGCTTATGCCACGTCAAATGTTTATATTGTGATAAATACAGTATATCAATTTCAAATATTTATAGTCTAAAAAACATGGTGCAATATAAATTGTATGTTGATCAAACATTCAATATCTAATAGAATATTGAAAATTGTGACTGGAATATACAAATATTAGTTTCAGACTCTTTCCCGTAGATCCTAATTCCATAAGTAAACATTAAAAACAAAACACGGTAAAAGAGTAAAGACCTCACAGTAACTATATAACTATAACTATACAAACAGTAGACAAAGTATACCAACATTAAACGGAATAGAGAGACAGCCTTTGGACTTCCAGTCTCCTTT